AAAAAAAAAAAAAAAAAGAAAATTATCGGCTGGGCACAGTGGCCTGTAATCACAGCACATTGGGAGGCCAAGGCAGGCAGATCACCTGAGGTTGGGAGTTTGAGACCAGCCAGAACAACATGGAGAAACTCCATCTCTCCTAAAAATACAAAATTAGCCAGGCGTGGTGGCGGGCGCCTGTAATCCCAGCTACTCGGGAGGCTGAGGCAGGAGAATGGCTTGAACCCTGGAGGCAGAGGTTGCGGTGAGCCAATATAGTGCCACTGCACTCCAGCCTGGGCGACAACAGCGAAACTCCGTCTCAAAAAATAAATAAATAAATAAAAGAAAATTAGCCAGGCATGTTGGCACACACCTGTAGCCATAGCTACTAGGGAGGCTAAGGCAAGACAATTGCTTGCACCCAGGAATTGTGGCTATAGTGAGCTATGATCATGCCACTGCACTCCAGTCTGGGCAAGAGTGAGACCCTATCTAAAATAAAAATAAAAAATAAATTAAAAAGCCACTTTGACCTTGGTCATCTACTCCTCCAGCTAGTGATACAAAGCTTGAGGGTCACAGCCAAGGCCCACGGTCAGAAACACACTCTCCTGGACAGCCTGACTGAGGTCTGGAAGTGCGGAAGCCCGTTCCTGCTTCAGCCACCACAGAGGACCTACTGCCAAGTATCTTCCAGGGCAGGAAGGGGAAACACACCAAATTCTGGCATGGCAGGTCCAGTGCTGGGAAAGGGGTTGAGGTTCTTCTATTCCTTCTAACCAGAATGGGCACCTTCCCTTCCCACATCTTGAATAGCCTCTAACTTCCCCCTACATGGGTAAAACACAGCATCATTTAGTTCACATGTGTTACTCATCACTACATTTATCTATACAAGTGTGAGGCGCAACTGTTACCATCACTCCACAGACTATGAAATGAAGGCTCAGGGAGGCAAGATGACTGCCAGGGATACCCAGTAGAAGCCGGCTGGCTGGGGGCAGAGCAGGAGAGCAGTAGTGGGTGAAGGTGGCCTTCCCCAGCCCTCCAGGACACCCTCCCATCCCCCACCTCCTATGCTACTCTAGTAACTCCACCTGGGCCTATGACCTCAGTGCCTGGGAAAGTGCCATGGCACGCCCGGGACAAAGTGGGAAGTTGGGGAGCCCTGGCTAGCGGCAAGTCCTCGATTTAGCTTGTCTGGAAAGAAGGCACCTGGCTGTACCAGAAGCAGCCCTGCCTATGCTTGAAAGCTGCTCCCTTTCTCTGTGATAGCACACCCTCTTGAGGAGCTGCCAAGGGATGGCTCAGCAGGAATGATAACATCACCTTTCACCCAGTGAGCAAGCTCAGCACTGTTCAGCACGTCTTCTTGGCTACAGACTTGCCAGCTGGCCAAAAAGCTGGACAGCTGACCTGGGCTGGGGCAAGCCCTCCCTTGCCATGGAGCTATCCCAGACCATTGGAGAGGTGGTGGTCACCAACTTGCCCAGCAGGACACCAGAACCAGGGGGTGAGGGCCGCATCATTGAACAGGAAATAAGACAAAGGCTGCCCCAGTCTGGACACAGACCTCAGGGCATCCTACCATCCCAGTTTGCACAGCCATGGAAACACTCACATACCATGGCAGCCACAGGCACTCCTAGGCAGGTATGAACCCTAGAACTGAAGAGGAGGATGGAACTCTGCTCTGGGCAAGGACTGAACCCTCTGCTCAGACCCAATTTACTGAAGAATTTGAGGACCACTCACTGTCTCTCCCTGTAGACACGTGCAGCTGATCGGAGTCCCACAGAGTTTCAGGGTTGTGCCAAAGAGATAAGGCAAGTGAACTCTTCATTTTCTTTTATAGGGATATGCCCTTGGCACTACCATCAACCTCTCAATGAGAAGAAACTGGTTTAGAAAAGGCCATTCCCAGCCTGGGCAACATAGGGAGACTTCACCTCTATTTAAAAAATAAAAAATTAGCTGAGTGTGGTGGCACATGCTTGTAGTCCCAGCTACTTGGGAGGCTGAGGCAGGAGGATCACTTGAGCCCAGGAGGTCAAGACTGCAGTGAGTCATGATTATGCCACTATGCTCACACCTGCGCAACAGAGCGAGACCCCCATCTCAAAAAAAAAAAAAGCTATTCCCTAAGTCGAGGGTTATGGTTAAAGCATTCTGGAATCAGCAATAGAAAAGTTTTAGAAGTGATTTTGACTGATGAGTCAAATCAGGTGAGAAATTTCTCAATTGCTCCTCTTGGCTGTGGCTGCTCCTGAGCCAACATAGAGGCACATATGCCTTTGATGATGTAGAACCCACAGTCCATGTGCATATGCCTCTGTATGTGCAGCGTGTGAGAAAGAGAAAGATATACATCATGTGTTTGGGGCTCCAACAGCATCCTGGATCTAGAAGGTCCTTGCTATGACCTGCAAACCTCTGGAAGCTTTAGGAGATGGTAGGGGCATGCCCCCCAGCATCCTCTCTTAGCACTGCAGCTGGGAGACCCAATACAGCAGTGAGCTAGTGCAGCTACACTACATGAGCTAAAAAGAAAAGGAGAGAAACAGCAAGCACTGCTGGCAGCTGGGGGCTCACACAAAGTGCTCTCTGCAGGAGTGTGGTAGACAGAAATGCTTGTTTCAAAAAAGTACAGAGACGTACATATCTGATGTATTTCTGCATGACCTCCTCCAGGGGCCGCAGACCCTCCTTGAGGAATATAGATGGGTTCCACATGGCTGCTCGGGCCACCATCACAGAAGAGGCTGCCGTGGCTTGTCGAAAGTCCTCTATGTCCGAATACCGTTGGATGTGGTCATGAGATCCTCCGCTAAAAAGCAATCGGAGGGTTAGGGGTGTCCCCATCATGGAACCTATCAGCATTTTCAGAAAAAGTCAGCTTTCAGATCTGCCACTGATTAACAATGTAAATTTGCCCAAGTCCCTTCAGCTATCATAGCTTCAGTAAAGTGGATATTAGAATCCATATCTCCTTATGAAGTTAGGAGCACTAACCAAGATAATACATGTAAAGTGCCTGGCACTTAATAGGTAATCTAGGAAATTTACTTTCCTTGCCCCTAATCTAAAACAGTGGCTACAGCCAGCCCACATCTGGAGACATGGGTCCATAACTGGGCTATTGGGACTACAGGAAAACCCCCAAGCTGAATGGGCCACTTACATGTTCACTGAGGGCTAAGTCAAAACCCTGGCAAGAGGAATAGACACCGTGGTGATCACGAGAGGAGGGAAGGAGGCCCACTTAGGTCATACTTTCCCCTCCCTGCAGCCTGCTGCTCCAAGGACCCCTACTCTGTCTCCATACATTTCATCAGGAGTCAGGCGGCAGCCTCAGTCCAGAGACAGGCATGCAGAGGGGAGGGTCTCAGGTGGCAGCAGAAGGAACAGGGTCTGGGGTCTTGTGGAAAGCCCTGCCCTTTCCAAGCCACCCCTAAAACTTTTCACTCTAGGGAAGGCTGGGCCTGGCTACCACCCAGCCCTTAGCTCTGTGGGACACGGAGTACATGATGAAGAAAGGAGGCTTACTTGGCTATGACAGGAATGGAAAGGGTATCAGCAATGGCTTTGATGACTTCACAGCTGACAGGATGCTGAGGTCGCTCCTCCCGCTTCCTTGGAGATAGAAAGATGGGGCTGAGGGCTGAGCACCAAAAGCCACGTCACCACTCACAGGATTACCTCAGCCAAATCTTACTGTCCTCCCCACTGACCCTCAGGAAGGTCAGGTGGCCATGTGGCCATCAAGGACAGGTGGCAGGGGATGGCTCTCCCTGCCCTCTGGAGAAGAACTGTGAGGGGCAGGGGCAGCACAGATCCATGCTGAGTCCAGCTCTTGGAGGCCTGCAGGTGAAGCCTGGCTGCAGGGGGGCGAGGTGGGTGGACCAGCTCCCAAGGTCATGTTGCTTTTCCCTACCTTCCCTTTGCCTCTGCCAGAGATGAGGGACAGGGCCATAAGAGTGCTACCCCTACTGTCCCAGTCCTGCCCTCTCCAAGGGACTGGGAACAGCTGCTGCTACTCAGACTGGCCACTCCCACACAGCTGCCAATGCCAAAGCCAAGTTGCAGAGCTGATCCTAGGGAGAGGCACCTGACATAGGGTAGGCCCCGCAACCAGGGCAGGCCACGGACCATGGTTGTCACACCACAGCACAAGTGAGGCAGGACCACAACCTGGGGCCCCTCCTTCCAAGGTCAACTGCAAGTTCTTGTGCATGAGTTTTAGGGCTGCTGATGTGAGGCCTGACCTGAGCTGTGCTCAGAGACAAAGCAGAGAAGACGGTCGACCAGATAGCCCTTGTCCAGCTCTTGTCTGAGTATGTCCCCTCTGCTATACTCTTGTTCTTTTTTTTTTGAGACGGTGTTTTGCTCTTGTTGCCCAGGTTGGAGTGCAATGGTGCAACCTCAGCTCAATGCAACCTCCACCTCCTGAGTTCAGGCAATTCTCCTGCCTCAGCCTCCCAAGTAGCTGGGATTACAGGCATAAGCTACCATACCTGGCTAATTTTGTGTATTTTTTAGTAGAAACGGGGTTTCACCATGTTGGTCGGGCTGGTCTTGAACTCCTGACCTCATGTGATCCACCTGCCTTGGCCTCCTAAAGTGCTGGGATTCTAGGCATTAGCCACCACACCTGGGCCCCTGTGCTATACTCTTCTTCAACAAAAGGGTCGCCGGGCGCGGTGGCTCAAGCCTGTAATCCCAGCACTTTGGGAGGCCGAGATGGGCGGATCATGAGGTCAGGAGATCGAGACCATCGTGGCTAACACGGTGAAACCCCGTCTCTACTAAAACAATACAAAAAATTAGCCGGGCGTAGTGGCGGGTGCCTGTAGTCCCAGCTACTCGGGAGGCTGAGGCAGGAGAATGGCGTGAACCCGGGAGGCGGAGCTTGCAGTGAGCTGAGATCGCGCCACTGTACTCCAGCCTGGGCAACAGAGCAAGACTCCGTCTCAAAAGAAAAAGAGAAAGAATACTACATGCCATGCACTGTGCCAAGGATTTATATTCACAATCTCATAAAAGCCTTGGGACAACCCTATAAAGTAGAAATTATCTTAATTTCTAAACAAGGAATGTTGTGCTCAGAAAGGTTAAGTGATTTCCCAAGGATATACAGTTATCAAGCAGCAGAGCCAAGATCTCAAACCAGCGAGTCTGAATCCAAAGCCTGCTGCCTTGGGAAGTAGCATATGTGTACAAGTGTGTACTCCTCCCTCCTGGCTTCAACCCAAGCAACTCTGCTTTGCTCTGCTTTGTATGACGGGAGTTCTGGGTTCTCTTCCCTGAAAATGTTGTAAGAGCACAATCAACAACTTGAGCTCTTCCTATAAGACCCCAAGCCCAAAGGAACATCACTCAGAGAAGAGAGGTCCCCCTGGCCCAGGTCTACTGACCTGAGATGCTGTACAAAAGCAGCACATCCTGGACACAGAAAACAAGTGTGACTGTAAGCCAAGGGTGGCCTTCAGAACCTCAGCTCTCAGCAATTACATTAGCTACAGCTAGAAGGATTGTTTAGTCATTGTGACAGCTGGCAGTCCAACAAATGCAGACAAGAGAGGCAGAGACTTTAAAAGAATAGGCTGGTTGTGGTGGCTCACGCCTGTAATCCCCGCACTTTGAGGGGCTGAGGCAGGAGGATCACTTAAGCCCAGGAGTTTGAGACCAGCCTGGGCAACATAAGGAGATCCCGTCACAACAAAAAAATAAAAAATTAGCCAGGTGTGGTGGCATGTGCCTATAGTTTCAGCCACTCAGGAGGCTGAGACGGGAGGATCACTTGAGCCCAGGAGTTTGAGGCTGCAGTGAGCTATGATTGTGCCACTTCACTCCAGCCTGGGTAACAGAACAAGACTGTCTCAAAAAACAACAACAACAATGAAAAACAAATAAACAAAGCAATCTGTCTGGGATTATTCAAGGGAGAAGTCATTGCTCAATATAATAGAAAGAAAATAAGGCTAGGCCTAGAGGCTCATGCCTGTAATCACAGCACTTTGGGAGGCCAAGGTGGGTGGATCACCTGAGATCAGGAGTTTGAAACCAGCCTGGCCAATGTGGTGAAACCCCGTCTCTACTAAAAAATATAAAAATTAGCTGGGCATGGTGGAGCATGCCTGTAATCTTAGCTACTCAGGAGGCTGAGGCAGGAGAATCACTTGAACCCGGGAGATGGAGATTGCAGTGAGCCAAGACTGCGCTATTGCACTCCAGCCTGGGTGACAGAATGGCAAAGAGATAGAAGGAGAGGAGAAGAGGGGAGAGGAGAGGGGAGGGGGGAGGGGAGGAGATGGGAGGGGAGGAAGGAGAGGAAGGAAAGAGAGAAGGAGGGAAGGAGGGAGGGAAGGAAGGAAGGAAGGAAGGAAGGAGGGAAGGAAGGAAGGAAGGAAGGAGGGAAGGAAGGAAATAAATGAGATTTTCTCATGAGGGTCAGAATTCCACCACGAACTGGCTGCATGGTACGATTTTGAGCAAGTCACTCAATCTCTAGCATTTACACATCCTGATGGTAGAGGTGTTTCTCCTTTCTTAGTCTCTCTGCGTTTCTAAACCTCTGTACCTACCCTCAATAGGTGCTCCATAAATGAAACAAAGGCAAATGTAAGCTCATTCAGGGTCTGCCTGCCCTCAAGACTCATAGGATATCAAAGAGCTAGGCAGACATAGGCTGAATATGTAGAAGACAAATTGTCTGTCACTTGGGATGACAGATCAATTAAGGAAGAATCACTAATATGAGTTAGGACCTCCCTACCAGTCAGTCACTAGAAATGTGACCACTCACCTCCCATGAACTGCGATGGCAGCAATGCCAGTCCTCTCTATCCGCTTCACAAGGCTCAGAGTATCTTCTAGCTGAGGAAGAGGACCACATAGGATGGTTACTGAAGCCCCAGAAGGAGCAGCTGCTGGCTCCTAAAGTAGGCTCAGCTCTACTCTCTCCTCCAAGCCTAATTTAGCACCTCAAGAATCATTCACAAACCTAAATCCAACATCACCAAAGAGAATGGACCTTCAAACGTAACACACCATCCTTACCGACGGCAGGATGCGAATCTTGCAGGTCACAGGTCTGCGTATCCCTTTAACAAGAGTGCTGAGGATCTGCAGAGAGGAAAACACAAGAGCACCTATGTCTTCTAGAACAAACCACCACACTGCCTGAACTAATTAACTCTGCTACAGGCTGTGCATTCTGGTGGCATGAACAGTTTGTGTATGTGTGAATGCATGCGTGTGTCTGTTACACACATACATAAATAAGCTCCACGAGGCAAGGGATCTGCCTTTGTTCTACACTGGAGCCCCAGCGCCTGCCTAGCACCTAGTGGTATATACATATTTGTCAAATATGCTGAATGAATGAGTGAGTGAACAGTTATGTGTGCACACCTGTGTGCAACTCACTGAGCCTTTGCCAGGACAAATACCAGAATTATCTGGAGAACTGAAGAAATACAAACTCTTGAATTCCACACTATTATTTCCTGAATCAGTCTCTAAGGGCAGGGCTTAGGAATGTGTGTTTTCAAAAGGCTCTGCCCAACACGCTCCACCCCATCCTCAGTATCATTCTGACCCTAGCCTTGGTTAAGAACACATGGCTAAAAATAATAATAAGAAGAAGAAGTAAGAAAAAAAGAACACATAGCTAACTGGGCGTGGTGGTTCATGCCTGTAATCCCAACACTTTGAGAGGCTGAAGTGGGAAGACTGCTTGAAGCCAGGAGTTCAAGACCACCCTGGGCAACACAGCAAGACCCTGTTCCCTTTTTGTTTGTTTGTTTTGTTTTGAGACAGGGTCTGGCTCTGTTTCCCAAGCTAGTGTGCAGTGGTGCAATCTTGGCTCAATGCAACCTCTGCCTCCCTAGCTCAAGCAATCCTCCCCACCTCAGCCTCCATAGTAGCTGGGACCACCATGTTGGCCAGGCTGGTCTCAAACTCCTAAGCTCAAGCAATCTACCTGCTTCAGCCTCCCAAAGTCCTGGGATTACAGGCTTGAGTCACTGCACCTAGCCCATCCCTGTTGCTATTTAAAAAAAAGGGGGGGGGCTTGGGGAGGGGGGAACAGCTTCTTTCCTGGGTGAAGAGAATGTTCCCTGTGTGTTGTTCCAGGACTTGCAGGGTGAGGGAACAGGAAGGCTCTTAAGGGCCTGCATTCCTCTTTAGGGGAGTCAGATATACTCCCCTAAACTGGCAAAGAAAAGACAATGTACTCAACATATTTAAAAGTGCTTATCACATTGCAATTGCAAAAGATTTCAAAGAAAGATCAAGACGTCATGCAGGAAAGTGACAGGGAGGGTAGCAAGACCAGACCACACAAGAATCAGAGATAGAGAGGTGTAGATGACACTGCATGTCTGTGTCATTGCTATCTTCTTCCCTTATCAGAAATTTCAGGCCAGGCAAGCTGGAGGAAAGATGAACCCAAGAACCCTCTTCCAAGAACTGGATGTCTGTCTAGCACAGCAGGGGGATATCTAGGTGGCTGCTGCCAGTCTTGATTCTAGACAGGCGGGGGCAGCAGAGAGCCAGGTTGCAAAAACCAGTAGTGGAGGCCTTTCAGGGGACAGGCTGAATGAAGCAGGCCATGCCAGAAGACATCTAACCAAGAGGCTGGATGGACTGACAGACAGGTGGACAGTTCATGAGCAAGACAGGACCTGCTGGCCCAACTGCCAGGGACTGGCAGGAATGAACAGTCCCTAGGTGCTGTCCCAGGAGGCAGACTGGGCCTGAGGTCTTAGGGTCACCTTGGCAGGCCTTAAACAGGCACTGACCTTTTAAGTCGGGGTCTGACAGGTTCATCAAGAAATACAATAAAAATTCTCATTCTAGTCCCATCCTTCGTGCTCAAAGCAACATCTCCGAAAGTTTCCATTACAAGTGCTCACTTAGAATCCTCTGACATTTGGTGATTTAAGCAACACCACCTGGTCTGATCCAATTCTCTGTCTTGTAGAGCTTCCTTTTGCTGTATTCTATCCAAGTAGCTCTCAGTACTTTTTTCAGTATTTCTGTGCATTTCATGTGTGTGTTAAGGGCTAGGAAGGAAATTAGGTAACCAAAAACCCTAGCCACTTACAAGGGTCACACTGAGGGGAAATGGCAACTAGAAATTGTCTTCTGGCCAGGGTCTAGCATGAAACTCTCCTGGACACCAACTCTCCAGATCCAAGTCTTTGGGGAGAAAGAACGAGAGCAAGTCCATATTTGAGCAGAGGAACAACACATTTACCTACAAGAAGGCTTGCCTCAATAGACTCACTGGCCAACTGAAGAAAAGTAGGCTCCCTGGTTTCTGGGAGGCAGCAAATGAGGATAGGAAAGCATAGGCCTGGAAAGCAGTGAGACCTGAGCTCAAGTCCTGGCCCTGCCAGTTGTCAGCCATGGCCCAAGTGCAGTGTACACAAGGGGGATGCCCTGCGCATACTTGTAATCCCAGCACTTTGGGAGGCCAGATCACCTGTGGTTAGGAGTTCCAGGCTAGCCTAAACAACAAGGTGAAACCCTGTACCTACTAATAATACAAAAATTAGCCAGGCATTGTGGTGCACGCCTGTAATCTCAGCTACTCAGAGGCTGAGGCAGGAGAATCTCTTGAACCCAGGAGGTGTAAGTTGCAGTGAGCTGAGATCGCACCACTGCACTCCAGCCTGGGCAACAGAGTGAGACTCCCTCTCAAAATAAATAAATATTTTTAAAAATAAAATAAAACTGAGGTTCTTAATCCAGGGAGCATATCCAGAGTTACCTGGTAGAAGCTTTCTCAGAGATTGATATCCCACTCTCCACCCCTACTCACCCCAAGGGTCTGCAGAATTCTCAACGGATAGCATCCTTTATTTATAACTGGGGTAAAATATATAAAACATGAAATTTGCCATCTTAAACATTTTTTTTTTTTTTTGAGGCAGAGTTTTGCTCTTTTTGCCCAGGTGGAGTGCAATGGCATGATCTTGGCTCACCGCAACCTCTGCCTCCCGGGTTCAAGCGATTCTCCTGCCTCGGCCTCCCAAGTAGCTGGGATTACAGGCATGCGCCGCCACCCTGGCTAATTTTTTGTATTTTTAGTAGAGACGGGGTTTCTCCATGTTGGTCAGGCTGGTCTTGAACTCCCAACCTCAGGTGATCCAACTGCCTCGGCCTCCCAAAGTGCTGGGATTATAGGCGTGAGCCACTGCACCCGGCAACATTTTTAAGTGTATAATTCAGTGGCATTAATTACATTCACAATGTTGTACAACTACCAACGTTATGTGTTTCCAAGGTTTTCATAACCCCAAACAAGAATCTTTGAGAAAATTTCTAGAGGTGGTCTTAAGACACTCCCACAGATGGAACCATGGGCCTAAAACACCAAGCCTGGAAAGACCCGCAAAGCTCTCACCCAGGCCACCCAGCTTGCCAGCATGGTCTGGACCCAAACTGAATCCAGCCCCTACACCTAAGCCACATCTGGCTTTGTTGTGGAAGCCTGCAACCTCCCCACCATGGGGCAAACCCCATCTATCAGTCTAACCTGGCCCATCTAAGTACCCAATCAGAGAAGTAGTGGAATGAACTAGGCTTCTGAAGTTGAATGTATCTCTGCTGCCTCATGGATGAAATCTGCCTCATTCAAAGAGGGGCAGTAGAGAGGATAGAGCCAACAGCCTGGGTCTGAGAAAACAGGAGGCTGGAGGAAAACAAAAATGCCTGTGTGCTCATGTTGTGAACCACATCCTCCCTGCTGGGGCCCCCTCTCCTAGGTGTGGAAACCAATTTGACATCCAAGATGTCTCCTTCCACTCCACCCTGCACAGAAGTGTCTAACCGGAGATTTCCAAGTTGAGGTGCCTATTGACCTGACACTTACAAACTATACCCAGGCACCTGGAACCTGAGATGCTACTGGAGAGGGTGCTGACACTAGGAGTCAGAAGAGACTATGGTTCACAAGCTGGCTCTGCCTGCCACTTATTTACTATATGATCTTAAGCAAATTATTTTCTTTCTTTGTGCTTTAGTTTATTGTCCTTGATCAAACGGAGATAAATGCCAATCCTGTCTACTTCAAGGGTTTTCAGAATCAAATGAAAGGCACATTATGGCTGCGCACAGTGGCTCACATCTGTAATCCCACCACTTTGGGAGGCCGAGGTGGGTGGATCACCTGAGGTCAGGAGCTCAAGACCAGCATGACCAACATGATGAAACTCCATCTCTATTAAAAAATACAAAAATTAGCCGGGCGTCATGACGGGCACCTGTAATCCCACCTACTGCGGAGGCTGAGGCAGAAGAATCACTTGAACCCTGGAGGCAGAGGTTGCAGTGAGCCGAGACTGTGCCACTGCACTCCAGCCTGGGTGACAGAGCAAGACTCTGTCTCAAAAAAAAGAAAGGCACATTATACGGGTACACTACAGATCGAGTATCTCTGGCTGCACATGGGGAAAATGAGAAGGCACGTATCCAGCAAGCACAGTGGTCTTCCTATGTCCCAGAGACAGCGGGGCTGGAGGAACATGCAGGGTTGAGCTGCTGATACAGCAACCATGCAGCTCTCATTGGCAATGATGGCAGCTCTCATTGGCGGTGCCTGAGTCCCAAGTTGCTCTAGCCTCCGGGAAGCAGGATGAGGCTTAAAGCCCAGACAGGGAAGTAGTGATAGAGAATGAAAAGGAAAACAAAGGAGCTAAAAGGAAAGGGCTGGCAGACTGGGAGAGGAACACAAAGGATACAGATGGTGTGGCAGAGAATGTCATTGCCACATACCCTGGCAGCTCACAATGCCAGGTAGTAAATGCCAACCTGTCCCCAGGGCCTCATTAAGCTAGCCTACAGAATCACCAAAGAAAGGGGAACAGAGAGAGACCAACTTCAGCTTGCCTCCCCTAACCCTGGCCTGGGCTGCTCTCCAAGGGCTGGGGTAGACTCTTTCAGGACACAGGGGACCCACTGCTGCTCTCCTCAAGTACCTTGGGAGAGGCCAATCCACCCACACACATACAAACACGTATGGCCACTGAGCTTGTCCTCACCACAGGTGGCCTGGCCTCTGCTCTCAAGACCTTCCCAGAAGGGAGACAGGCAATACAGAAGAGGTTCTCTATGAGTCCTCAGGACCCCTGGCCCTTTGTTGACATGTCTCTAGCTCTGGGCTTTTTAGGAACTTCAAAGCTGCTGTAGGCTGGCTCAAGGGTTCCCAAACTTGGCTGCATGTCAAAATCACTGGGAAGATTTTTTGGAAATTGCTAGGCCTCAGGGAGAGAAACTGGGTGGACATCAGTAAATCTGGTATTAGTGGAAGGAGGCATTCTAGACAACTCTAGTTTGGAGCTGTGTTTGAGGACCCCTGCTTTCACCTGTGGAGGACTTACCTTCTCAATCTTGTCAGGGTCTGACAGCAGAGCAGCTCCCATTCCTCCCTAAGGAGAAACACACAAAAGGTCTTCTTACAGCTGGGAGACAGTATGGCCCTCTCCATGGGATGGGGTCTGGCAACTGGGCATCACCTCGGCACTCACCTCCAGGGGACCAAGGCCCACTGGCAACCGTCACTTCTTTTAAACAAGTAGGAGGGCAGCAGTATCTGTGCCCACAACATCTGGGACTGAAGTGTGATAATTTTTTTTTTTAAGACAAGAGTCTCGCTTTGTCACCCAGGCTGGAGTGCAGTGGTGCAATCTCAGCTCACTGCAACCTCCACCTCCCTGGTTCAAGTGATTCTTCTGCCTCAGCCTCCTAAGTAGCCAGGACTGCAGGCATGCACCACCATACCTGGCTAATTTTTTAATATATTTTTAGTAGAGAGAGGGTTTCACCATGTTGACCAGGCTGGCCGGACCAGAGTGATGACTTTTAAAATTTATAGGCTGGGCGTGGTGGCTCACACCTATAATCTGAGCACTTTGGGAAGCTGAGTCAGGTGGATCACCTGAGGTCAGGAGTTCGAAACCAGCCTGGCCAACATGGTGAGACCCTGTCTCTACCAAAAATACAAAAATCAGCCGAGCATGGTGGTGTGCGCCTGTAGTCCCAGCTATTCAGGAGGCTGAGGCAGAAGAATTGCTTGAACCCAGGAGGCAGAGGTTGCAGTGAGCCGAGATTGCGCCACTGTACCCCAGCCTGGGTGACAGAGCAAGACCCTATCTCAAACAAAAAAAAGTCATCGTTCTGATCCCCTTGGTAAAACCCACAAATCTATCTAGAAATGGGCTATATAAAACTTATTTTTCAAGACTGCCCACTCCCTAACCCACGTCTCAGTGTCTTAATAAACTAAATCCCACCATCTTCCAAGCCCTTAAAAAACAATCAGGCCGGGCGCGGTGGCTCAAGCCTGTAATCCCAGCACTTTGGGAGGCCGAGGCGGGTGGATCACGAGGTCAGGAGATCGAGACCATCCTGACTAACACGGTGAAACCCCGTCTCTACTAAAAATACAAAAAACTAGCCGGGCGTGGTGGCGGGTGCCTGTAGTCCCAGCTACTCGGAGGCTGAGGCAGGAGAATGGTGTAAACCCGGGAGGCGGAGCTTGCAGTGAGCCGAGATCGCGCCACTGCACTCCAGCCTGGGTGACAGAGCGAGACTCCGTCTCAAAAAAAAAAAACCACAATGAATCATCCTTCCTTTGAAATAAGATCAAATGCGCCTTCTTCCTATCATACCCAATGCTTGCATAGGCATCAACACCACCAGCAAAGCTACTAAGGTGCACACAACTTACGAACCTTGTCTAGGCCCTTCTATTCTGCCAGCAACAATGTCCCAGCCCAGACCCATGCCCAACTCTAACAAAAGCCTCAGGAAATGGAAGCCACCAACCCACACAACCGCTTGAATCTTGATAATAGTAATGGTGGTTGCTCTTTATGGTGAGTTACTGGTGATTTTCCCACTCTTTTCTGTACTAGTATATATTTTCCAACTTCTAGACAATGGTATTAATTACTTTAATAATGAAGGACGGGGATCTTTAAAAATCTGAATCCATTAAGAGCGAGATGAAGGCAAAAAAAAAGACAAAAACAATTCCAATAAATATATGCTGCCAGTGTAAAGATTACATACTAATGCTCACAGAAAATGCTCAGAAGGTGTAAGTTCGGTTATTACACTTCAATTTCATGCTTAAGGATGACAAACTGGAATCAGAGAGAACATTAAACCACCACAGACTCAGCCAGGCTGAGCCTGGATTTTAGAGAAAAAGGGGTAGGCTGGAAAATCTACCAAGCCTGGACTACACTGGTCATAAAAGAAACCTTGAAGGCCTAGAGGAAGCCCCAGCACTCCCCCTGGCTCCATCTGTCCTTTTACTCACATATATCCAGCCCTTCCTTATAGAATCACAGGATCTAGAATTCAGTTTCACTGCCCCTTCCACAATAATAGCCTTCTCAACAACGGAATTTCCTTCCTTCCTTCCTTTCTATTTAACTTACTTGCTTTTTTGAATAGGTAAAACATTCAAAATTTGAGAGATTCAAATGGGTAACAAGTAAGAAGTCTCCCTCCCTAAAGAATGAGAAACGTTTCAATCTATACTTTTTTTTTTTTGGATACAGGGTCTCACTCTGTAGCCCAGAGTGGAGTGCAGTGGCATGATCCTGGCTCACTGCGACCTCCGCCTCTAGGGTTCATGTGATTCTCCTGCCTCAGCCTCTCAAGTAGCTGGGACTACAGGTGTGTGCCACCACACCTGGCTAATTTTTATATTTTTTGGTAGACATGGGGTTTCACCCTTTTGGCCAGCCTGGTCTTGAACTCCTGACCTCAGGTGGTCTGCCCACCTCAGCCTCCCAAAGTGCTGGGATTACAGACATGAGCCATCGCACCCAACCTCAATCTATACTTTTTATCTGGCTTCAATTTTTGAACCATGAGAACAAAGCAGATATTCAGCTAGTATGTACATGTGTGGCATACTGATTGGTATCTCTTCTGACTGATCAGTGCCAGTGTTGTGCCAGTTAATTATTTTCAGTAGCACCCCTGTAATGGGAATTTACTATCTATGCACAACCAAATAAAAACTTAAGTTTCGGCCGGGCGCGGTGGCTCACGTCTGTAATCCCAGCACTTTGGGAGGCCGAGGCGGGTGGATCATGAGGTCAGGAGTTCGAGACCATCCTGGCTAACATGGTGAAACCCCGTCTCTACTAAAATTACAAAAAATTAGCCGGGCGTGGTGGCGTGTGCCTGTAGTCCCAGCTACTTGGGAAGCTGAGGCAGGAGAATGGCGTGAACCCAGGAGGCGGAGCGGAGCTTGCAGTGAGCCGAGATTGTGCCACTGCACTCCAGCCTGGGCAACAGAGCGAGACTCCGTCAAAAAAAAAAAAAAAAAAAAAAAAAACTTAAGTTTCCTTCCCCAGAGGAAACCAATGTTACTAGTTTCTTCTGTGTGTCTCCAAAAATCTTCCCTGAATAAACTAATAAATATATATAATCATCCCCTATCCTCCTTATATAAATGGTATATACCACCATACCCTGCCTCCAAATCATTTTAACGCTGCTCCTCACATACTTTAGGAACACAAAGAAGTAATCAGAAAAGAGCAAAACCGCCGGGCGCAGTGGTTCACACCTGTAATCCCTACACTGTGGGAGGCCAAGGCAGGTGGATCACGAGGTCGGGCATTCGAGACCAGCCTGGCCAACATGGCAAAACCCCATCTTTACTAAAAATACAAAAAAAATTAGTCGGGCATGGTGGCGGGCACCTATAGTCCCAGCTACTCAGGAAGCTGAGGCAGGAGAATGGTGTGAACCCAGGAGACAGAGGTTGCAGTGAGCCGAGATCACACCATTGCACTCCAGCCTACACGACAAGAGTGAGACTCCATCTCAAAAAAAAAAAAAAAAAAGACCAAAGATACCTAAAGTCCAAGTCCAGCTGATCTTTTACCAACCAAGGTTTTCAATCCTGCACTCCGCTTCTTCTTCATCATCTTCCACTCGACAAACCTCTGGTCAAATCGAGCTACTCACGCCTCCCTGTGTCTACTTCATATTCATCCCCAGGCCCTGCTTATATCACACCCTCTGCTTACAGGGTCCCAAATCTCAGCCCAAGGACCACAATTCCCTATAAAACTCCAAGTTTAAAGGCTGTCTTTCCACTCCCTTCTCTGGGCTACCATAGTCTGATTTCTTCTGATATGACAATGGGAACATTTGCACTGTATCTGCCTTTTTTTTTTTTTTTTTTTTTTTTAAAGACAGAGTTTTGCTCTTGTCACCCAGGCTGCAGTGCAGTGGCATGATCTCGGCTCACTGCAACCTCTGTCTCCCAGGTTCAAGCGATTCTCATGCCTCAGCCTCCCAAGTAGCTGGGATTACAGGCACACACCACCACGCCCAGCTAATGGCTTGTAATTTTAGTACACATGGGGTTTCACCATGTTGGTCAGGCTGGTCTCAAACTCCTGACCTCAGGTGATCTGCCCGCCTCAGCCTCCCAAAGTGCTGGGATTACAGGCATGAGCCACCAGGCCTGGCCTTTTTTTTTTTTTAACTTTTAAGAATTTTTATAAAGACAATGTCTTACTCTGTTGCCCAGGCTCATCTCAATCTCCTGAGATCAAGTGATCCTCCTGCATCAGCCTCCCAAAGTGCTAGGATTACATGTGTGAACCACCACTCCCAGCCTCCTCTCTTTTTTTTAAATGTATGTCTCAGTTGTTTTTCCTTTTTTTCTTTTTTTTTTCAATTTTATAACTTTATTTGATGTATTTGACGATCAGCGATTAGTTCTCATCCACATTGACTGTCTGCAGATTTTTGAAAGTGGTAACAGGTACATAGGTAACCAAAGTATAGAGCTTATTTGGTGAATCTTCATCCTCATTACGTTTTCTGGACAGCCGCACACGGATTCGGTATGGGACATTCCTTATTCCTTTGGCCCAGACAGCTTTGTTGAGCCTGGTATCAATGCACACATCTGGAGTTC